ACATTGATGACTGACTGAATTATCCATGTATGACTTGGGCTGTTTGATGGACTCTGATACCTCTATTTCCATAAAAGTAAAAGCCTATTTAAACTGCAGTGTCTCTGTATGCTGGTTTGTGTGTTCTCCAACACAACTCTCACAACACTTCGCTGAACGTATTCGCTCTCCCAACGGGGAGCTTACTCAACACAAACCCCATTTAGTTTGTATAAATCTCTTATTTGGGTGGGCAGACTCCCAAAGGGCAACCTGGAGCAGACAATGAGAACACTTACCAATGTTTTCTTCTAAGACTTTGTTGAACCACTGTAGTGTTGCTTTCTTCTCTGCATCCAAGTCTTCTGGGGTGACTGTATAGCCTAGCTGAGGTGGTGGAGGCTGCCAAGAAAACAAGATCTTAAGCATTTGTTCTGAAGGCGCAAAACAGCACTTTCATAAATAGCACCAAACAAAAGACAGAGGTGTTCTTCCCTTAGCTCTGGGAATGTATAAATAAACCTAAAGATTACATGGCTTTACTGCTTCCCACTTTTTTCTCAGGCATCAAGCCATGTGGCGTGTTTGACTAAAGTCAAAAGCTTTAGCAGCACCCATCCTACTCAATTTAACTATCTTGTCTTCTTGGCTGGATACTTTATCACCTGCCATATGGTGTCTTCCGTACGTCAACTCAATTATGTGCACAAAGGGAAAGAAAGAAATCACTGAAGAGTCATACCAAGGCAAAATTATCTCCATGATGAGCTGAAAGTAGCTGAATCTTCCGCTTCCGCTTGCCATTGCTTCCTGAGGAAGATGGTGAACTCACATAGTTGCATTTATTCTTCAAGGGTGATTCTGAAACTGAGACCAAGTTGACAAGTTATGCTTGTGGCTACCCAACCAGAAGCAGCTCAGGCTTCTGCAGTAGTAATGATCCATGTCTAAACACAACACCTTTGAAGACTTAAAAACAGACAAGCATAATATGAACATAGAGGCTTCAAAAAAGTAAACAGAATATAGGCTGGTGTACTGTAAGAATATTTATATGGTTCAGTATTAGCAATTAAAATTTCAATATTTCCTCAGAGGTATCAATATACTCTGTAAGTGTTCTTAAGAGAACCTCCCAATTGATTAGAAAGCATTCAATAGAGGTGGGGGGAAAGATACAGCGCTAAGATCTCTTAGCAATCTTCACAGGTAAAAAACTGGGATTCAGAATATAGGTCTGAAATATTGAAACACTACTTTGCCATTATTGCAGAGGTGATTTTTAAAAATTCTGAGCAGTCATGAAAGTCATGCCAATCCATTTATATAAAAGTCATTCTAAAGTAGCCTGTTGTGAAACAGAGGCATTCTCCCGCCTTACTGACAATGTAATTTTTATTTACCTATTTTTTGTTTTAGGATCCTCCCTTCACACCCCAGTCTCAAAGTTGCCCCCATTTTTCCCTCCAATCCTTCTTGGCCCATCCCATCCCCAGAACTTACTCTTCTCTTCCTGTGCCTCTTTGTCTGCTGTCACAGCCATTTGCGAGTTGGATTTCTGAGGCTCTTCTTCACTATAGCAACAGGAGAAAGCAAGTGAAAGAGAATGCTTAAGCAATTCTTCTTTTGCACTTCTGGCTCGAAGATTTGCAGAGGGACAGTCATAGGTAGGGGAAAGATCTGCTTCCCTCATCCCTACCATTCTTCCTCCCATATACTATTGTCATTCATTCTATGGACAGTAGCTGGCCATCTGCCCTTTGGATGTTGGTTTGAGGAGATTCTCAGGGTAATGCAAGCAGGCATCTTATGAAAGCAGTCACCCGAGTGTGTTGCTCTGAAGACCCCCTAGTAATAAAAAATTTCAAGCAACAGATTGCAAGACAACAACCCAAATCATTACACATCCTCACTGCTAGCCCTTTCAATTTATCTAATGGTTAGGTAAAGTTCAGAAATGTGGTTTGGTAAAATGTCATGGAAAATGCTTTCTATTTAATAGTCAGCTCTCTTTTCAATAAATACACCCCTCTCCCCCATAAAAGCCCAGACAGGATCTTGCCTATTAAAAACCACATGCAAAAACCTTCCCTTTCTTGAAGAAGACTGACCTTCACAAGATGTTTAAATGCAGGAAAGATGTTTTGGTTAACTTTGCCAATTAAACAAGAGAAGGGAGGAATCATATGCTGTAGATATATTTAGAGAGAGCCTATCAGAAAGAGGCCTCAAAAGAATAGCATCATCCTTGAGCCTTCCAGCTACTGATAACCGTTAAGTCTAAGGAACATCAAAACAATAAAGAAAAGCTGCACTCACATGATGTTGGAGCTGGGATATCTTGCTTTCTTGTTAGGCCTTTCAGGTGTTTGAGACCGAGAGGATGCTGGGCTGGAAAGAGTAGAGGAACTTGGTCCCGTTCTCTTCCATAGCTAAAGGAGAGAAAATAAAGCATGAAGTACTACGTATTAAAAAAACAAGAATAATCTTTTCCATACCTTATTTTTGGTAGGTTTAAAGCAGAACATTTATGTATACAGAAAATCAAATTAATGTAATCCTTTTTGAAATCAACTTAAACAGGTGAATGGCAAAAATAATTTTCCATGATTAAATGCTGCCATCTAAAACCTATACAGGTCTAATAAACTTGCTTAGGAATTCCTCATGCCATTTTTATTCATTATTATTATTATTATTATTATTATACAATTGTATCACAACGGCCAGTTGTTTCGCCGGATTTGGCATTGGTTACTAGTCGGGCCCCACCCAGGGGCCTAGGACGTCGTAACGTATTTTC